CTTTTTCGATAGTGAGATATATATGTTTTTCTATAGAGGCTTTTTATATTCTAATCAGTATATATTCTTATCAATATTACTATTTAAAGGATTTTTCTCTTAAAATAAGAAACTCTTCTAGGCGCCTATTTTAGTATAAAATATACTTAAAGTAAGTGGGATATCCTCAAAATAAGAATACAATTTTTTCGGTGTATAATATACATGTATATTATATATACATATATATGTATATTATGTATACATATATATATATGTATAATATACATATATATATATATACGTATATTATACATATATATATATTTGTTCGCGTGTAAATTTTTACACGCGAGTTTTTTGAATTAAATTTCAATTCTTTAAATTTAAAAAAAATTTACACGCGAACAAATATATATGTATATATATATATATACGCATTTTTCCGCACATCCTGCGATCGGCTCGTATGACCGTAGGTATACTTCGTAAAATTTATATCCGTTTCATTTTGGATTAGATTTTGTGTAAAATTAGACGTGGAAGATTCACACTTCAAACTTCTTGTGTGTAAACGCTGACAAGCTCTCCGAGATTTTTATCGTTTTGAATAAATAATTCATACGTCAGGGTATATCAAAATACACAAAAAAAAAAAATACAATTTTTCTCCGATATGTTGCGGATACTAACGAACTGATTCGCAAGATATTTTCCTTTTTTTCCGGTATCTCGAGGAGGAATTTGACGAGTATACGAGATCGTGCGAAATCATATGTAAGTAAGCGCCGAGAAAGTAAAAAAAAAAAACGTTTCGAGAGAGATAAAAACCTGCGCATTTAGCGCGGGTTTGCGATATTCGAAAGCGCGCGCTCGACGCCAAAACCGTCCTCTCGCCAAACGTTTGTATAAAAGATCCGCGACTGTGGACGGAAACTCGATTCGAAGTGAGCACCGTTTATATATATATATATGTATGTATACATGCAATTAGAAGAGCGACGACCTATGTACATACGCGATATGTGTGGTAAAGTATCTAAAGCGTAAAGCGCGCAAGACTCACAGTGTGTCGGTTTGTGTCTGGCGCGCGCGCGCGCGGTGATGAAACTAACGAGCCTCGCTCAAGTATATATCCCATGTAATCCGCGGTACAGCGGATTGCGCAACGTCTTCGTATAGGTATATATATATATATATATATCGCGATCCGCGCGATTATTGAGTCCGATGCATTGAGAAGCGCGCTTTTTCCCAATTAGCGTTACGCGAGCGCAAAAGCATAGATTAGCGCGAGAGCGAACAAACCGCGTCTGTGATATTTTGCGAAAATTATATAATAAACAGAGATTTCGAAATAAGATCACACCGAAAAAATTATATTCTTTTAAGTAGAAGATTTTATACTTAAAAAATCTTCTTCAAGATTTTAGATGATATTCTTCTGAAATTAAGAATATATTCTTTATTCAAGAACATAGTCTTTTTCGATAGTGAGATATATATGTTTTTCTATAGAGGCTTTTTATATTCTAATCAGTATATATTCTTATCAATATTATTATTTAGAGGATTTTCCTCTTAAAATAAGAAACTCTTCTTGGCGCCTATTTTAGTATAAAATATACTTAAAGTAAGTGGGATATCCTCAAAACAAGAATACAATTTTTTCGGTGCAGATATCGGCGCTTCTGTTTGGTTTTACGGTGTATTCGTTATTTAGGATCGCTCGTTTCCGCTGGATTGTAAAAACAGTATTATATATATATATATATATCAAGGTTTGA